GTCCACGATGTCCGCGATCTGCCCGAACGTGATGCAGGGGCACAGGCAGGTGATGAGACCTTCACGAGAGACACGGATAAGCTCAACTGACCGGCCATGGGCGACCATTGCTAGCTATCTAGTAGTTCTCCGCTCTGAACAAGAGGGGAACGGAGAGCACTTACAGTTCCCGGGGTCGTCCATGCAGTGGAAGAGGCCGGTGGACCAGCGCGCCAGCCCGGCGGCGGGGCGGGCGTGGTGGCTCTGGTTCATGGCGTGGTTGTACGTGGGCTGCTGCTGCGGCGGCGGCGCCGTGGGCGGAGGCCCGCTGCTGAACCTGTCGTACGCGTCGGAGGGGGTGGTGGGATACATTGCTTGGGAATACGGCCGTGCCCTGTTTATGCCCTGTGCTAAAGCCAAAGAAAGGACCCGGTTCCTCTTTAAAAGGAATCACTAGCGAGTCTCTCCCGAGTCTTTTCTTTAGTGCTATACTTTTCTATCAGTCAGTTGGTAATCTCTTATTCAAAGTAGTAATAATATCTAAAAAATCAGTTGGTATGTGATGTGACCAGTATTCTAGTGTCCACGAGCAGCACAGTGAGTAAATATCTTGGATGCTTCCTGCTACGCTTGGAGCAAGCAGAAGACGCTACTGCAGTACTGCTGTGTGCACTGTGCATTTTGTCCATGCTCTTGTGTCTTGAATGATTGCCGGAAAAGATGTGGGTGTATATTTCCTAAGTTTTATTGAATTTAAAAGTATTAATGTCGAAAACGTTCTTATATTATGAAACGGAGGGTGTAATTTTCGGGGAAGAACACAAATAGTGCTCGCCGAGCATCATTGTCATATATTCACGGTGTAAAGATCATACTACTGAAGTCTTGGTCTTGCTAGCCAACTCGTTAATAAAGAAAAAGGAGAAAAGTGAGTCTTGGTCTTGCTTTCAATATACTTTTGCAGTTTCCTATCCATACTGCCAACTTGTCGACGAACCATGCAACAAAAGTTGCTGTTCAAGGGGGCTAACCGCCGTTAAACATAATAAAAGTGGTTAGGTTTCAAAACTACTTGAAGTCTAACCAGACGAGGTGACAGCAAAGTTTTGGAATATGCAAGGTGGATATAGTAGTTTTTGCCATTGGTTTGCGCTACTTGTCTCGAAGACAGCTCCCTTGATCCGCCACATGCGAAACATAGGGAGCTTAAATAATCGATATTGTAGTACGTACTACTTTCTCTAATCTTGTTTAGTCTAACAACAGCTAGTGCGACGTCAAAAGGAAAAACAACATCTAGCTGTATTTCATTCTATTTTATATATCCAACAGCAGCGGAAGATGGATTAGTTATGCAAAAAAACATTAAAATGGAAATGCTAAAAATCTGACGCCGGGTTTTTAGACACGACAAAACAAATGTTTTTCATGACAAGTAGTAAGATGTCCGTGCATTGCACGAAACATCAAGATCGAGGGTGGACGGCGCCGGCAGCGGCCATCACACTAGATTCTTCCATGGCCTTCTGGATGTGGTGGGAAAGAAATAAGGCTGATTGTGAGAGACAAAGAGTTGTTTGTAAATATGGAAACAAGTGCGGGCATATTTTTGCAAAACTGCAACAGTTTGCTTTGTATGTGTCAGATCTAGATCCGATGGCTATTGATGGAAGATGGCAGGCACGCCATCATCACCGAATCAGGTTTTTATATAGTCATAGCAATTTATATAGGCATGAGATTGGCAAACTTAGTTTTGCAAGGACGGTAATTTCATGGCAAAAAATGAACGGAGACGAATGTGTCATACGCGCCAACTAAGCTTGCCATCCTCGCCGAACACAACTTATCATGAAAAACACTCGATTTGTCATGCCCAAGAATCTGAGGTTCGATGAATATTCGGGTGCTTACAACTGAAAATATTCACAAGCAGTGCACGTTTGGAAAAAAGAATTGCCTTGGATTGCCAGTGGCCACCCGCTGGTTTGGCAATGGCGAGACAGCTGACGTCACAGTGATACGTGGTTCGGACGTCGCACACTGGTACACATGGCGGTATCAATCCGCTGAAACTATCGACTGACGCTTACGCTTTACCTAATGGCTAAGCATTGACCGTACACGTTGCTTCTCGGAAGGAAGCTAATGCCAATATTAATTTTTGAACGAAGTCCCATCTTATCATCTAGAGACGGAGAATGCTGATCAAGTTGGTCACGACTGATCAAGTCCTGGCTGGTGTGTCATTGCCTCATGAGTTCTTTTTTTTCTTTTTTTCTTTTTTGCGGGTGATTGCCTCATGAGTTCAACACTATTGCTTGGTGGACTAATCTCTCTTGATCCGTTTTGCTATCTGGAATGGAATGGACCAAGCTAGCGATCGGGCACAAGCAACACTACAACAGTATAGAATAATCACTGCATGCGTCCGCAGCAAAAATGTATGTGCATGCCGTTGAAGTCAAAGGCATCCGATTCCAAGTTCTTGGAGGAAGCATCGGGCATGCACGGGTGAAGTCACCAGGCTGCCAATGTTCTTCGAGCAAGCATCGAATCTGATGATAGACTGGCCGCCTGTCGAAAAAGCAGCCGATATCTTCGCCGATTGGCCCCGCCTAACAACGCATCAAACGTGCGCCGAAACGTGAGGCAACGGGAGTGCCCGTGAAAGCATGTAGACGTAGTTACCGCCATGGATCTCGGGTATATATAGCTCGGCATCAACCGCGGGGACGGAGGGGCGAACACGTACGCACTCTCTGTCTGAGGGAGCAAACCATTGTACGCACAGAGAGAAAGAAAGGAAGATCGAGGAGGATGGCGTTCATGCGGTACGACTACAGGGCGCTGCCGCAGGAGACGACGGTGGAGGAGTTCCGGGCGTGGCTGGCGCAGTTCGACGCGGACGGGGACGGGCGGATCAGCCGGGAGGAGCTGCGGGAGGCGCTGCGCAGCCTCGACCTGTGGTTCGCCTGGTGGAAGGCCCGGGAGGCGCTGCGGGACGCCGACGCCAACCGCAACGGCCTCGTCGACGGCGACGAGATGGCCAGGCTCTACGCCTTCGCGCGCACCAACCTCCACCTCAAGGCCGCCGACCTCGACGCCTAGCCGTAGCCTGGTACTAGCAGCAGCAGCCTCCCAATAATCTCTGTCCGATCGGTCCATCCATCAGATACGTACGTACGTACTCCTACTAGCTGGCTTGGATGCGATTGCTCGTGGCTGGTTGATTGGTACAGTATTAGGTTGTAAATAATCAGTGAAGTGGATTTTGTGTTGTGTGTGCTACTGGCTCTCGACCTGTTTCTTTTTGTTCTTTCCTGCTTCGGAAGTTCAGAATCTCTGAAAAATGAACGACTGAACCGATGCACGTGCCGGCATCTTCAGTGATCAGAACCGTATGATTTCTCCACTTGGAGACGTGGTCTGTGTGTGAATAATGATGCTTGGAGACGTTGTCTGACCGTTGCTACGTTGTTCTCTGCTGGACTTCCTGATGCATAAGCACCAACAGCTCCTACTCGCTGCACAGCGACGGACATCGCGCGTGCCGCTGCACACAACTTGATAACATGGTTTTCTGTTTTTCTAAGGGAGCGACCTGATTATCATTGATCAAGTTCAACCGAACAAAATATATCAAAACGAGGAACTGAAAATGGCTGTTCGAAAAACAGAGAGTTCATTTTTTTTTTCGGGGGGGCAGAGAGTTCATTCACACATACACACCAAAAAAAAAAACCCAGAGAGTTCAGATAAAACACAAAATTACATCAAAGTCGTTCGAAACTGTCAACTATAGCTCCATTGTTGAATACAAATCCTGAAAATTGTAGAATACAAAACCTATGCACTATGCTCAAATATTTGAAAGAGTCTCATACACAATAAGTGAGAACCTAAAATCATGCGATCCATCGTGGGCATGACCCACCCCTAGCAAGGTCACATGTCTGACGTCTACTATGTTATCATATGGTTGAGAAAAACGATCATGAGCATGAAAGAGTGTAGCCGTGAGAACAACAAAATATACTTGACACTAACCCGATCATGGGCAGTCCGGCCCGAAAAAACCCGAAACCAGGCCGTGCTTCTTTTTCAGCTCAAAAGTGAGCTCGGAAGGGCTCGGGCTTCAGTATCCGGATTTCCAGGCTGGGCTTACATGCATGCACACTAAACACAACGTTCTATTACCTCTGTTCCGAAATGTAAGTCACTCCCCCAACGACTTATATTTCGGAACGGAGGGAGTATTAGGTCTCGGGCTTGAGAAAAGGAACATTTGCAGGCTTCAGACCAAGTTTGGGTTTGTCATTTAGGGTCCGGGGTTTTTCAAGATGGGCCCGACCCAGCATATGTTCATGTTACTTACCTTCACCGCCACACCGCCCAAGTAGGCTAATAAACATTCATAACTTTTTGAAAAATGGGCACACAATTTAAAAGATTCATGAATTTAAGAATCACTTATGAAATTTTGAAAATGTTCTCAAATTGAAGAGAAATCTTCTCATATTTTAAATTGTATGTGCATTTATAAAAATCATGATTTCACAAATAATGCTTAAATATTTCATTAAAAAGTTCTATTTAAAGAAAATTACAGCCAAAATAAATATGTGAAGAATAAAACCAAAATAAAAAACCCAAAAGACCCGAAAGAAAACCACCGAATTGAAGATACCAAACAACAAACGCCACAGAAAAATCAGCACATGGACCGGTCCATGTGCGTTTATCCGACACTTTGTTGCATTTTTTTAAAACATATTTTTTAGGGGTGATAAATAACTTTATTCATCAAATTCCATCTGAAGTGGGATACGAATCTGGTTGTACGGAACGCCAGACCAGACGTGGCGACCGGGACCTCTAGAAAGGGAAAATTTAGCTAAACCGTGTGCTTCATAGTTCGCAGCACGACCCTCAAAAATAAATTTACATTGGACATTAATAGTTCTAAGGCGAATCTCACTGATAATTGCTCCATATCTTCCTCCCGTGTTGTTGCCAATATCCGCCACAACCTGTTTGCAATCAGATGCGATGACAGAATTGTGGATGTTGAGGTCCTCTGCCAAACACAACGCCTCCCGACATGCTATCGTCTCCAAAGATGTCGGATCAGTGACACCCTCCAGGATCAAGGCCGAAGCCCCAATATAATTCCCCGCTTCATCTTTGCAAACTGCAGCTGTCGCTCCTCCTCTTTTGGCGCGAACAGATGCATCAACATGTATCTTGTATGCTCCGGGAGGTGGTTTCTTGGGATTCTGTCTTTGTTGCGGCGGTTGGCTCACTCCTTGTCGGGGGCATCGGTTTGAATCATTAATCACACCGAGCTCTGCCATGAAACTTGTGATGAAGGAGTGTGTCTGGTGGGGACTTTGGAATATTGCCTCATGAATAGCTTTACGTCGAGCATGCCAAATCGCCCATGCCGTGACCGCCAGCAAAGCAAAGCTCTCCTGCGGCAAGCTCTCGATCAAAGTGAACAACCAGTTTTTTGCATTAGGTTCTGTAGTCGCCATGATTTTATGCAGCACTTCCTCATGTCCCAATGCCCATACACTCCGCGATGCGGTGCACTCGAATAACGAATGCCGCCATGAGTCTTGTACTCCACACAACCCGCATAGGCTAGAATCTGCCATATGTCGGTGCGCTCGTACATCGTTTGTAGGCAGCGACTGTTTCGATAATCTCCATAAAAACATTCTGACCTTCCCCGGAACTGAAGTACTCCATAAAGATTTCTACGCGCCAGAATCAGCCCTGGCACTGGATGGTCCTGTCGATCCCTCAAGACACGCCTCTCTGCGTTGTCTAGTTGCAATGGTCATTGAGGGAGTCCTGGATTAGGGGGTGTTCGGATAGCCGAACTATACCTTCAAGTCGGACTCCTGGACTATGAAGATACAAGATTGAAGACTCCGTCCCGTGTCCGGAAGGGACTTTCCTTGGCGTGGAAGGCAAGCTTGGCGATACGGATGTTCAGATCTCCTACCATTGTAACCGACTCTATGTAACCCTAACCCTATCCGGTGTCTATATAAACCGGAGGATTTTAGTCCGTAGGACAACATACACATCAACAATCATACCATAGGCTAGCTTCTAGGGTTTAGCCTCTCTGATCTCATGGTAGATCAACTCTTGTAATACCCATATCATCAATATTAATCAAGCAGGACGTAGGGTTTTACCTCCATCGAGAGGGCCCGAACCTGGGTAAAACTTCGTGTCCCCTGCCTCCTATTACCATCCGGCCTAGACGCACAGTTCGGGACCCCCTACCCGAGATCCGCCGGTTTTGACACCGACATTGGTGCTTTCATTGAGAGTTCCTGTGTGCCGTCGCCGTTAGGCCCGACGGCTCCTACGATCATCAATGGCGATGCAGTCCAGGGTGAGACCTTTCTCCCCGGACAGATCTTCACCTTTGGCGGCTTCGCACTGCGGGCCGATTCACTTGGCCATCTAGAGCAGATCGAAAGCTACGCCATTGGCCGTCAGGTCATATTTGGAAGTTTAAACTACACGGCAGACATCCGCGGGGACTTGATCTTCGACGGATTCGAACCACTGTCGAGCGCGCCGCACTGTCACGACGAGCATGATCTAGCTCTGCCGCTGAGCAGTGCCCTGGAGGCCATACCCGCGTCGGCTCCGACCCCTAGTTCGGAGCCAGCTGCACCGATCGAGGACGGGCGGTTGGCCGCCGCCTCGGGGGCTGAGATCCTAATGGCGGTTGAGCCGAACACCAGCCCCATACCCTGCAAGACTCATGACTCCATGGAGCCGGATTCTTCTCCGGACTCCGAACTCTCCGCGCCCCTGTCGAGCGAATCCAATTGGACGCCGATCATGGAGTTCACGGCCGCGGACGTCTTTTAGCACTCGCCTTTCGGCGATATCCTGAAGTCACTGAAGTCTCTCTCTTTATCAGGAGAGCCCTGGCCGGACTACGGTCAGCAAGGTTGGGATTCGGACGATGAAGAAATTCAAAGCCCACCCACCACCCACTTTGTAGCCACTATCAACAACTTAACTGACATGCTCGACTTTGACTCCGAAGACATCGACGGTATGGACGCCGATGAAGGAGATGATGAAGAACCAGCACCTACTAGGCCCTGGAAAGCCACCTCGTCATATGACATATACTTGATGGACACCCCAAAAAAGGGAGAGGGCGATGGAACAGCGGAGGATGACCCCTCCAAGAAACAGCAAAAGCACCGGCGTCAGCGGCGCCGCTCAAAATCCCGCCAACACAAAAACGATGATTCTAGCATGGGAGATAATAATACCCCGGAAAGCGCCGAAGAACATCCCCCCGAGCAAGATTTAGCACAGGAGGATCGAGAAACCAGCCCTCATGAAAGAGCGGTCGACAGAGAGGTCGAGGACAATAATTGTATGCCTCCCTCCGAAGATGAGGCAAGCCTCGACGACGATGAACTCGCCGTGCCAGAGGATCCCGTCGAACAAGAGTGTTTTCAACGCAGGCTTATGGCCACGGCAAGAAGCCTCAAGAAAAAACAGCAACAGCTTAAAGCTGATCAAGATCGGCTAGTCGATAGATGGACTGAAGTCCTTGCGACTAAAGAGCATAAACCCGAACGCCCCTCCAAGTGCTACCCAAAGCGCAGGTTACTACCCCGATTAGAGGAGGAAGCACTCGACACGGCCGACAGGCCACCTCATGGCCGCGACAGAGAGGCCTCATGGCCCTCCACCCAAGCCGCACCCCGTACCAAGGACGGGAATACGCGTCGGACTTACGAGACATGTTGGAGGACAAGACAAGACAAACAAGATCGATCTACAGATCGCGTAGGCACCCCACGACTCAAGACGACAACCGTCACACCGGCCACAAATTCGGCAGGGCCAAACACAGTAGACAAAGCTCATTGGAGCTACGTCATGATATCGCCCAATACAGAGGCGCCGCACACCCATTGTGCTTCACAGACGAAAATAATGGATCATTAAATCCCCGAGGGTTTCAAACCCGTAAACATCGAATCATATGATGGCTCAACAGACCCTGCGGTATGGATCGAGGATTATCTCCTTCATATCCACATGGCCCGCGA